AAACACCCTTCTGCATTTTGCGTTAGAAAAGCACGAGGCAGTCTGCTGAAACCCGGTGCACCTAGGGCGGGCGATTCGGTTGACGTATCTGAAAGGCGTTCTCCTGTCCTTCGTGTTTGCTTTCTGACGTAGCGTCTTTGCGAGCATTATACCGCGAAGACAACGAATATTGCAGAAAGACAGGATAAATACGGATATTTAGGTTGCATGCGATTCCTGGCCGTTTTTAGGATGCGAAGGAGAAAGCGGTGGGAACGTTTGCAGGGGGATTTCTTTGCTATAGATTTATTCTCCGGGCGCGCGGAGGCGAGTGCCGCCACGCGGTTCTATGGTGTAATGGTTAGCACTCTGGACTTTGAATCCAGCGATCCGAGTTCAAATCTCGGTAGAACCTGCCCCACGGCCCTCGCTTTTTCCTCGCCGCCGGCGGCCCCTGGCGGGCCATTGCCGCTCGTGGGTACGTAACTGCCTATAGAATTGCTAAATAACAGCAGGCGGTTTTGCAGGGACAGCGTATATAATGATCCCTCACAGGGGAAAACAAACTGCGGGGTGAAAGCGCCGGGCAGCAGGGTACAGACCAAAATGGGGGTAAAAGCCATGGAGCTGAATGCCAAAGGGTCTTTCTTGACCTGAACTGTATCACACCATTCCTAATTTCCTTAAATTGAATGAACAGCTATATGTTTGACAAAAAGATCAAATAAGACTTTAATTTTTAAATAGTTCTTACTACAATTTCATTAGGTCTTTCATTATATTTTACCCTTCTTTTATATGTAGTTTAAGTCTTTTTTGAGGAAAAAAAAAAGTCATTCACAGTGAGGAAAATCTGATTTTCAGTATATAAATGTGCAGAATTCAGACATTATTTTTCAGGTGCACCCAACTCTTCACTTGGAAGACAGGGACAGAAATGCAATGATTTCAGAGTGGGTATAATCTCACAGTTTCAACTCTGCACAATTTAATGGATATTACCTCTGTTTTGCTGACACAAATCCTCATTATTTATTTTTCATTTCAGAAGTAGCTAAGGTCATCTTAACATCTTGGCTCCCCTCCTCAAACCCTGTCCTTACTAGTCATTTGTTCACACAGCAGCAGAAACATCTCTGTTCTGTGCCAAACTGAAGATCAGCTCCTCCTCCTTTCCCTCTGGCCAGGTAACCACTGACCCTTGAAAAAAACGCAGCCCCCCTTCAGGTCTAGTTATTATTTTGCGGAAGTTGGGGTCCTAACTGGTCATGGGAATTTATGAAAATGTTTGCTAAATTCATTCAAGAAATTTTTGCACAACCTATCGATGAAAAAATACCTCCCTCTTCTATGTCGGGGCTAATTTTCATCCTTTCTCCAACTGTGTTTGTAAGTATCAGGCTACACACAAACAAGTATCTTTACTGTTCCTTGTGCACCAGTGCTTTAAATAACTGCATATAGTAAACTTCAGCGTAACTGGTCACCCCCGTAGACTGGCCTCATCCAGCAACATCGCTCTTCCCGGGTAAGAGAGCTTTAAAGCCACTAGATGCTTGTCTGCCCTGCAGCGATTCAATGTATTATTTTACAATTCCAGAGAGCAAATTCCCATTTCCTACTGCTATCCAGTAACTTCCTCCTTCCACATTTATCGCAGTTTGAAGTGTAGCTATAATCCAGAATACTCATAAATAGCTGATGCGGTGTTACTGTTACAGACTTACTGAGTATTCATGCTAAATTCACCAGACAAGCACATACGTTAAAACAAAGTGTACTTAAAGACTTAAGCTTTTGTATGGAACGAGACAGAATCAGTGCATAATTCAGTATCAAGATTTATTTAGGACAATTCATGGTCATGCGCCATTTGAATACAAAGCACCAAAATTTAGGTGGCTGAACATTATCCAAGTATAATCTGGCTGAGACTGCTGCATACAGATATATCCATTATTCTAAGTGATAGCGTAGCCCACGTCTGTCCATGTTCATTAACTGTAGTGGACAAACACAAGGTGCTGTGGCTGAGGTAACCTTACTGGAGAAGGCATAGCAAAGGTACTTCACAACGCACATCCCTTGTTGTAGCGGTCTCAGAATAAAGTACTATAACCCAAGGTATCAAGCACTTGATATGCTCAAGTCAGTAATACCCCAAGACAACTTCCAAATTAATTTAGCATTTCCAGTTACTTTCCCACAATCCCTCCAAATTTAGTATTGTCTAAAAATCATCTAGAGACAAGATTGTCTCAGCACAACATTCAACCGAGAATTAAAGCACTATGGCTGTGACGACACTAGGAACTTTTTCCATTGCTGAAAAGGCAGTAGCAATGAAAATTATTAATTGCCAAAATCATATCACGGAACTAAGAAATGCTGTAGTTTCAAAAAGTGTGGCTAGAAACACGTATTGTCAACAATGACAAACTTCCCAACTGTAGATTTAAAAGCCAGAATCAAATCTTAGGCAAGTATTTCACTATATATGAAGTTGCAACAAGGTTTTCCTGACGTACGTTAAAATTTCAGTGAAAGAAGATGGAGGGGGAAAGACTTATCACAGTTAAGGGAAAAAACTTCTTTTTCTTCTGAACTGGCACTTTAAAGAAAAGGGCTTTAAAAACTTAAAATCAATTTTACTCCAAAAAGTCTTATAAAACAAACGTTGACTAAAAAAAGCCAGACAAGTATCGGTCACTGTAAGTCACTAGTTATAATACATACATTCCACCTAGCCACTAAAAGCTGCCCAGTTAGATGCCTTCCTCCTCTTTAAAAAGAATACTGTGGCAGACAAATACTCTACTAGATTTTTACATTGCTACTATCCAACAGGTTAAAACACTTGAGTAGATGGAAGAAATGGTGGATTCAACTGAAAAAGTTTATTTTATGCACTGAGCCACCAATTTCCATTTCAGTAGGAACACAGCACAACATACTGTAGACAGATTTATTTCACCTACTGGCCCGTTCCTAGGGTCTCCCACCAGCATGGGAAGCGAGGCTCTTCAGTGCAACAGGCAAGCATAACGGCAAAAGAGAACATGTACAGCAGTGCCACCTAAGCAAGATGGGTATTTTTCAAGTTGTACAAACAGTTCAAGGGTATCCTTTCAGAACAGCAAGGCAGCTCTTGTGTAGTTTAGCGAAGATTTCATCAGAAAAGCAAACAACTTTTTCGTACCATTTCATCCCGTATATGTACATTAAAAAAAAAAATAAGCATACTATACAAAGAACTGAAGCAATATAATTTAAACATGCCATCAAGCTATAAACCATATATACATAGAAACATATGCCTATACAAACAGAACAAGACCACTTTATTACAAGATAATTCTGTTGAAGTTTTTGGAGGAAATCATGACAGATAAAGAAAATCAGACCAAAGGAGCTGGATGTTGCTTCTAAAAGTCATCTGTTCAGAAATTTCATGCAACACCACCATCTTTCTTTAGCAGACATTTATTAATGTTTCAGCTACACATAGGTCTTCCCATGATTTCTGGACTCCCTTCCTGTACAGAGGTAGATTTCTGTAGATGTTCTGATATTGCACCACATAAGTATAATGTTTTTATTACAAGGAACAACTTACAAAGGCTAATTTATGGGTATAATCTCATTGTGTGCATTCAGGCAGCACAGTAATCAAATTCATTTGCACTTGAAAGAAAACATCCCTCAAAGTGAAATGTTTTGTTATTTAGGTGGAGGTCCAATTGAAAGCTGCAATTCTATCAACAGCTTCACATTAAGAGAACTCTCTCTTGTCATCAGGGTAACACACTTAACTCCCTCCCTCTCCTTTTGGGCCTCTGTTGTTTAGCCAATGCAAGAACTTGCATTGACTTCACTGATGCCTTTATCCCATCCACTGTGTTCAAGTTAAATGCGGATTTCAAATACACACAGGTTGTGCAGTATTAGATCGTACTCATACAAGCAGTTGTAATGTTAAAAAATTTACAAGAAGATTCATTCAAACTGCCTGAAATGATTAAAAAAGCCCATCCACACTTTCAGACTGGAGAAGGAAAGCTGAAACTTTGCTAGCTTCAAACAGCCATTAATCGTGAACAAATCTGATGCTACTAGGAAAATCTGGAGTTTGGCAGTAGTTGGTTTTGGTTTTTTTTTGTCCATCACATTCTTGAATAACGCTCTGACAACTCATGAAGCTGCAGAAAAGCTTGCATGCAAATACCACTTTAAGATGTCTGTTAAATGAAACCTCTACAGCATACTTTTAAGAAGTGCACCAAAATTCATGATGCCAATGTGTAGTAACTTTGATGAGCTCACAAGCATTGCTAAGTATTATTTTCAGAGGCACTCCATGAAGTTATTTTTACAGAAGTCTGTCAACATGGAGACAAATGAAAGAATAATCTGGTATTCTGTGTACCGAAACATGAGAGAATAAAAGTGCTGTAAGTCTGGCTCAGCAAATCTAGCAAAGTTGTAGTACACACGTGCTCATGTGACGGTGCATATGCACGTTTCACTCTCATAAAGAAGCCAGAAAAAGTAAGCAGCACCACTCTTCCTAGGAAATAGAAGTCCTCTTTTTGTACCAACCAACCTATTTGGAACGATTTTTAACAAAGGACTGCATTATAACCATTTAGGCATTAGTTTCCCAAGTTCAGTTTATATGACACATCCTGTTCCTTACAAAATCTCTCACCAGCAAGGAATGGTGACTAGTTTGGAACTGAATAGTTTTTGTTAAAATATGGATAGAAGGCAGGATAAATTCATTACACTTCTCCATAAACACACTTGTCTCTGTAAAGGGGTTTTTTGTTAACAAGGCAAGTAAATCCCAAGTTACTTCACAACGACAGCAGCAATATTAAAATTCATGATGACTCTTTTCCCATGATGAAAGGGATTTCATACCTAGGAGTAGGAGTAAAATAATCTTGCCTTCTTGGGGGAGCCCATTTTGTGAAGCAAAGGGAACCCTTCACTTCAGGGAGTAACTTCATCAGGAATTACACTCCCTGCCCCGGCAGAAAGTGCTTATGTACCTTGCAAGATCACGTTTTTGAATAAAGAAATCCATTATACGCAGGAGATTACACGCAGTAAAAGTTAAATGACAATGGCAGGAACCAGGGCTTTCGGAGACTTCTCCTCCTGTTTTTAAAAAGCAATGGTTCTTCTCAAACAATAATCCACAATTAGGAAGCGTCTCATTCATACGCTCAGCTAGTGCATAGCATCTGCGATTGCATAGAATGTTTCCAGTGCTGAATCTGTAACTAACCTAAGCAAATCTTTTGCAAGTTTGATTTATTACCATTTGATATCCAAATTGCTTGCTGTTTGATTTACTGCACTGTATTTGGTGTGCAAAGTTTCCTGGACCTTCTTAGAGTCCATGCCTTCCAGCCAGTCCTGGTACATCTTTTGTACGTGCATGTTGGTTTCTGGGAGTCTAACAGGTATTGCAGCATACACTTCTTCCATCTGGTTAAGCAGTGCTTTATCTGGTTTTCCATCTTCAGTTTGTGCCTGACCTTTTCCATTTAGGCACCCTTAGGAAAAAAGAAAATAAAAAAGCCACAAGGGCGATGGAGATTTGATATGAAGAGAAAATTTATGTTAACTTGGAATTCTTTTTTCGTACTTGTCTGAAGAAAAAAGGTTGTCTCTTTACATAAACTACCCCCCCATGCTGTTAGAATCTGTAGTTACTTAAATCAACTCCAATATCAACATCATGTAAATAAGGTTTCCATATCAACAATCTTTCTCTGCCTTTTCCATGGTTTTATGATCTTAATTATGTTCCTTGTCTCTTCTTGCCCTTGACAACCACCATTTCAGAGTATTTCCTCTGAGGTTTGAAATAATCATAAGAGCCATACTGTCAGTTATTTATAGGTCAGAAATAACACTGTGCTTAATTTTAGAAAACCCAATCAATTTCTGAGCGAACCCTGCACATGTAATTGGTGTTCTGGACCGTTCATTAAATAGTAAGCACTTTAGATTATTAAGAAGAGAATTAAGAAGGAATGAAATTAAGTGCCCGCCTGAAGACAACTTTCCTTTGAGATTCAAGATACGTGTGTGGAATGACTGTGGATCCACAATTATTCTTACCTCCTGGGCAGGCAAGGACTTCCACAAAATGGTATAAAAACTTTCCTTTTTTCAACTTCAGAACCATGTTTTGGATATTTCTAAAGCCATAGGCTGCTGCAAAACGCAGCACTGTCTCACCATCCTTTTCAAGGGTAACTTCTTGAAAGTCCTTGTTCCTGTAAAGATACACAGAGAACATTTTAAACTCCTGTGTTACCAAAGGGATGATCCAACTGTGACAGTTTGTATTCAGATGCTCTAAAGAGAACAGAACAAGTATAATGGCGAGATTAAGGTGAACTCTTCCAGTTTCTAAACTGAGTTAAGCGGAAGTTGCAGTTGAATTTTCAGAATAGAATTATATTTAATTTTTAAGGGCAGGTAAGTTATTAACAAGAAGTAAAGCTAGCAGGAGCTACTTTACGGCAACAAATTTACAGGTTTATAACATGTAACTGCCTATCAGTGAAAGAGGCACGTTACAGTGAACCCTAATGCGGTTATTGCTAACACCAACTAAACCAGAGGAGGCTTAGACTGGACATTAGGAAACATTTCTTTATTGAGAGGGTGGTCAAACACTGGGACAGGCTTCCTAGAGAGGTGGTCGATGCCCCAAGCCTGTCAGTGTTTACGAGGCATTTGGACAGTGCCCTCAACCTGCTTCAACTTTTGGCAAGCCCTGAAGCAGTCGGGCAGTTGGACTGGATGATCCTTGTAGGTCCCTTCCAACTGAAAATATTCTATTCTAATGAGCCCATCCTACATAAGGAAGATACAAAACTCTAACTTACTTTAATGCTTTGTAGGTGATTTCCTTGACATCCATGCCAAAAAGCTCCTTTGCAGCATGTTTAAAAATGTGCTCCAGGTACCCATCAGATCTCTTCCCATCATGCCTTACTACATCTCCCTCCTTTATTTCATCAAACCTTAGAAAACAACAGAAAGAAAGATCAACTCCAAAATTTCATTCCTTCACTTCAATAAAGTAGTATGTTTTTCCCCCTTCTCTGTCTCTCCCACCAAAAAGAGTTTTATAGCAGTGAGAGAGAACATACTAACATTTTTATTTATTACAGCTTAAAAAAATTAAACTATTCAGGACAGCAGTAAGATGATAGAAAAAAATAAAATAAATAATAAAAAAAAGGATGCAGGGCTTTCCATGTTTAGAAACCTCGAGCAACAGTAGTTTGTAAGAATGCACATTCAGCACAGCCTGAAGACTTGGTTAACAGCCATTCACTGCTCAGGAGACATTTTTTTGGGAAAAAAAAAAAAATCATTAGCCTGTGAGAATATAAAATACTTCAGAAGTTACAAGCCTTTGCTCACAAACAATTCTCCTGCTCCAGGCACTGTTTCTCACCATCTGTAACACTGTGCCACTAATAATAATAATACCACCACTAATAACACCGAATCAGTACAGTTGCAACCAGGCTAGAACACTGTACCTTTGCGGGCTGCACTATAGTTCAGGAAAGACAATTAGTGAGATCATATCCAACGGGCACAGCATTCACCTGGAGGTTCACCGCTCCCTCGCTTAAAAACAGCACTAATGAGCACCAGTGGCTGTCGTACAAACTGTACTGGGATGCATGCTGGCAATCGCCAAAGACTGCAGCTCTACGGGCTCATGTTCCTTTCTGGCAAAGGAGCAGTCGATAGGGGTGTTTGGTAACGCTAGTTTCAGGAAGAGATATTAATCTTCCGATTAGCAAATGGTCAGATTATGTCCTTTGCTCTCACATGTAAAAGCCTGTCTAGATATAGTCTAATTGCCTTCTTCCCAGAACATCCAGACATGACCTTTCCTGGCCTATACTGCTAGCTCTTGCCTGAGCAGCAGTCCGAGCACAGCATTCAACCACAAAGCCAAAGTGGAAATTACCACAGCAAACACCTTACTAACAAAAGATGCTGATGTTTTAGTAATTACAGAGAAATATTTTGATCACTAAAGAGCTGAAGTTTACAAATGTAGTATGTCTGTCCTCTCTATGCCATGCCATTGCATCTACTTAAGAACCACTGCAACTTTTTTTTTTAAATAACCTTGGGTGATTTTGTTTCATGCTATGTCTCCTAGTTTTAGCCAACTGCTATTTGTTAGCATCCTCTAGCTACAAAAGCGAGTTGAGAACTCAAACACAAGTTACTTTGTTCATACTACTTTTTTAATACCAAGCACTTCACCACAAATTGCTGTGGTGCTGGGACTTGTTTTAAGAGGAGTTCAAGTTACGTAAATTTCTCTGCAAAATCTACTTTTAAGATGCCAGAAGAGCAAAAATTTATGTCACCAGGTCTCACAGCTTGAACCAGTATTATCAGATTAGTCCTTTTAAAAGTTAACATTATTTTCCAACATAAACTGATCCAATGAAACACGTATATTCTGAATAAGAGCTTGTTCTTTCATTGGACAGGCTGATTTAGAAATAAACGACCATTTCTCTGTGATTATATCTGTATGAACTTTATTTATGTAACGCCCATTTTGTGTAGTAATCCCTCATAGAAGTAATCATAGCAGCTACACTACAAACGCAGCTCTGAAAAATGTTACCACTGTGCCACTTAAATTTCTCCAGTCTAGACAAGGGCCAAGCAGGATACTAACTGGAAGTGAAAAGGATTTTTAGAAAATTTCCAGAGCTTTCTCTTTTGTGCAAGAAAGCATGTTTATTGCTCCACCACTCTGGAAAGATACCAAGTAACATCTGTCACACTTGAACAAAGATCAGTGAGCAGCGAGACCAGCCTTTGTAACTAAGCCCGAGAATTAAAACAACACGCATGCTGCTTTCTGAGCCAGTCATACAGTAAGTAAACAAAATCTCTTCCACGCTTTGTGTGATTTTCATCTACAGCATGTTTCAATTTCACCTAATCTTGAAAAACCAACTGCTGTCTTCAGTATAAAAAAAAATTAATTACCATTTCCTGAAAGGGTGCTACTTCTATCAATTCTACACGAACATATTAGGGGAAGTGGAAATTTACTGTTGAGATGCTGCTGTGAATGAGGGAAGCACAGAACAGATGGTCAACCCCACGACTGCATCCCAACATCTTTGTGTGAGGCCAGACAGCTGGAGGGGGCAGATGAGACTCTTCAGCTTTATACAAGCTCAAGCATAGGAGAGCTCTGAACGGGGTCAACACCCTGCGACAGTCACACTTACTAGCAAGCTGTGAACTTGATATTGTCAAATCTAATATTACTACATTAAAATATAAATAAGGAGCTACGCAAATCTTCAAAAATCATAAATTTTAAAGGAGTCACTAGATAGGGGTCATTACCTCAAATTATCTGCTTTGTATTTAGACAGTATATACAGTTTTATATTATCTGTTTTGTATTACTTTTATATATAGCAGTGAACATCTAAGAATACTTTGGGGGTTTCTGGCCACTTAAAGGATGAGGCTTTAGTATGCTCACGCTTTGATGCAGGCTTTTTTTCTCTTTAAAAAGAAAAAACCTTCTTTTGAGAAGTTTTACATTTATGTTGAATATGCTCAAAGGTGTTGTCATTTGTCATCAAAATAAGGAAGCGATCCACAACAAAACTACTTACAAACTATCTACAGCTACTTCAGTCACATCTTTCATAGACACATTTTTCTGTTCCATTATTTGGACAATTTCACCTGTAGGAAAACACATGACATTTTACTTCCAACACAAAGCAAAATGCACATGCTGTGCCTCTGTTTAATAGATCAATATCCCAACACCTATAACGTGCTTATGCTCATAGAGTCAGTTCCCCCCAGTAACTGAGAAGGCAGACACTTCCAGCCCTGAAGAAAAGGGCCTTCAGCTTGCTCCAGACTTCGCATAACGCTGTCCTTAGCCTTCCTGTTAGGTAAAGTCTGGAAGACATTTATACACTGCAGGGGGAAAAAGGAGGATACGTAGTTTGGACATTAAGCTTAAAGACAAGAGCCACACCAAAAAGCAGCTGGTGCCATGCCTTTGGAATGTTATGAATAACCCCAGTGGAGATTAAATAATGACCATAGACAAGCAAGACAATGATTTTAAATGTGGACTTGCATTAACTCTTACCTTTCTCAAGAGGCTGACAAAAACAAATACCTGAATCTTGTTTTCAGATGAATACCAACTTAGAAGGGAAGTATTTTTCGCTTTGCTTCCTTATACAATACCTATACTACCAGTAGCACAAAAACATGCACTTATTTTTAAAGCAGAAAAAAAAACCCAACCTTACAACTAAAGCAGACTTGAAAAAAGCAAAGTCTGGTATAAAGGCTATTCTAACAATAGGGTTAGCATTAGGGTTCACTTATGTCTTTATAAATAGGAAGTTTAAAGAAGATTTAACCTGATGTCAGAACACAATCAACTTCTTGTGAATTATACAAGGCAGTGTAGAAATCTTCCCGCAAGGCTTCCAGTTTTTTGTCATAACAAGGTGCCACAATTACATGGAAAATTTTATCAGGAGACAAGTTCTGCGGAACACAGAAGAGAGCACATGTGAACTCCACGAAGAGCAGAAGACAGCTTGAAGGATGACAAGGACAAAAATAGCATCATAACCTCTGTGCAGGTAATATTAGTAACCAATCCCTAGCAATTAAATTTAAAGACTGTCGCACACAGATGAAGTGATTTGCCAGAAGTCACAAAGCATTAGCGACAAACATCCAAAGTCAGTCTTCTGGCTGAAACTTTTACTTATTCCTTTTTCTGCAGACCACATTTTCTGCAGCTTTTGATTGCCTTGAAAAGTGAATGCAAGCCAGGACTTCAGAGTTCTGTTTGCTAGCTGTCACTCATTCACTTTCATCCACAAGTCATTCATCAATATTTCTCTATGCAGAGATAGCAATACTTTCCTATGTAATCTGGATGCAGTTAAATTTAAGTATGATACATAAAAAGAACAGCAACTTTTTCAACACACAACATTGAGAAGATAAAAAGGTTAGTTTCTAGGATACAATGCTTTTATCGATCCCAGATAACAGGGCAATTTCTACATTATTCTCCTCTGCTCCTGTTTTGGCTGTGCTATAGAAATACACAGGCAGCATTTAACAAGAATCTCTTTAGCTACCCTGGATTTAATTTTACCCGAAAATATCTAAATGCATGTTGCACTGGCAGCACAAGGATTGCTGCCAGCTCACACTGCGCCTCATGAAATGAGGTTCTTTGCACGTTCTTCTTATCATGGGCACTTGTATAGCAGCAGAACACCATTTATTCTTCAAGTAAAGGACAAACAAGTTGGGAAGATGCTTTATCACTTTATAATACACTAAGATCCATATTTCAGTATTAAAACCCACTAGCCCATCTTTTTAGAAGAGTATAATGGTAAAAATAAATCAGAATTACTTACCTGCTGCCTGGCAAAGTAGCCCTTCACCAGGGAGCCCATGATCTGCTGTGGAGACTTTGCAGTGCAAATGTGAGAGGTCACAAGATTGGTAAGTACCCTTTCAGCATACCGGATCCAACCTAGAACAACAGAAAATCACAGGGAGATAGTGAAGTGGCACATAAGGATGGCAAAGCAGCAGCAGTTATAGAACAGCTCTTAAAAGCGAAGACAGCTTCACAGCAGGTAGGACATTGCTGCATAGGCTGGAAGCCCCACCTTGGGAACTGTAGGAAACCTCAAGGCTCTGTTAATAATGCTTTACAGTTGGCTATCAATAATTCACTGTGTCCTTAATTCTAGACCTAGAAGCCACTGTGAACTTCATGACCTATTACACCCTTTCTAATGCATAGATTTAACAAAGCAGAAAGAACAGGACCCCAGCTAACAAAGAGTGAGCTGACTTTCTAGACCTCAGCCCTTGGATCACCAGATACTACAACAAATGCACTCTGTTCAGCTGCTTAACTGTAACCTTCTGTTTCCTGAGATTTAATATCCATGCTCCCAGCTTGCCCCCTCTAGAACAGAAGAGTCACATGAAAGCATTATCACAAGATACACATGGATTAAGCCTGGAAAAAAATGGCTTCTTTTACTAGCGTAGCCACACCTTCTTTAGAAACACCCACAGACCCAACCACACACACAGCCATCAACTGAAATCTCTCTGTATTCAACATTCTGTCTTAGTTACTCAAAAGACCCCCTTCCTTTCACCAGACTCCTTCAGCATTTCAGCTAGGACAGGCTATGTCTATTCACACCACCCCCAATATCCAGAGCAGTTCTGTTATTCCCCACCTTCGAGAACAGGAACTGACAAATGAGCAGGTTGAGATATTTAGGGTGTGCAGTTCTTTCTTAGGCACCGTAACTCTGACTGAAAACAGCAGCAGATCTTTCACAGCAAGGATTCAGAACTTTTTGCTTCACCTACATGAACCGAGAACCAGATACCTAAATTGTGCGGAAGTGTCAGGCCCAGCCTTCTAGGGAAGCGTGTTGCTTTTGGTGCTAAGAAATAGTGGAAAAATGTCACACTTAAGTCTTTGGTCTTCAAACTGATTAACGTTTGCATAAAAGAGAAAAATTGCTGTGAAGCACATGCTGCCCACGAAAGGTAAAACTTGTAGGTTAATTCTTAAGCTTGAAATTAACACATACGTATAAACACCTGGTAACAGTTAAGTCAGAACACTGCCGCAAACGCCAGCAACAGCACAAAACGGGGATCCACATGGTGTTCAGATGGTTTGTCTCTCTATGGCACAGAAGTGGTTTTCCCAGTGTAATAAAATGTTACTGATGAAGATGAGAAAGTATAAGTATTAGGGCAACATGAGGATCCTCCAGCTGTTCAAATATTCCCAATTCTTGTTAACGTACAGACTTCAAGGTTAACAGATACTGGTCTCCATGGAAAATCTCAAAGACATATACCATCTTCAACGAGCATTCACTTCTGTTGTGGAAAAAGCCAGGGACTATAGATTTACATGTCAGGACTCTGCTGAATTGCTAGACTCTGAATAGGAAGTTTGCTTAATGTCCAGCTTCAACCGGGACTTTAAGTCCAAGATATTACCTGCAACTAAGGACTTAATTTCTTGGTGCTTGGTACAAAGGCCGTATTAGTATATTCTGCACGATATGTTTATCCTATTTCTTAAATGGCTTTAGTCTCAAGTGCTGTCAAAATAGAACAAAAACTGCTTCAAAGAAAATACGGACAGTTTTTAAAAATGTTCTGCCTTGTACTTCAGCAGCATTTCTGGAAGGTCCTTCCCTTACACTGCAACTAATCACCACAGCACTCCTGCTATGAGGCTAGTTTTTAGAATTGGAATGTTTTAGCTGTTGTAGTAATGAACTATAAGGAAGTTTCACTAAATCCCAAGAGACTCCTGGCAGGTACTGCCCAAAGCAATTTCTTAAATTGTTTCTTTCCTTGCAGTAGATGGAACAAGTGTCTAGTAGTTCCAGCTCCGCAATGACCATTAGTCACTGTTTAATTATACAAGCAGCCTTGGTGAATGAGCAACACCAGGCATTTATCTGCACTTCACATACGCACTAGCTGTTTCTGCCTACTCATCCACAGGGCTGAATTCCAGAGCCACAGTTACAGGAAGCCCAAGATACTCAGTTCGTATATCAACGTACATCTGTACCCATACAGACCCACACCCTTCATAAATTCATTCAGATTCTCAGCCATTTGTTGGCTTGTGTTAGCATCAAAGAAGAACAAGAAACCCCCACAAATCACTGTATAGATTCTTGCAAATGCACTTCAGAACACTATTTTTAGTGGTTTATCGTGAGTAGGGCACAAATATGCACGCTATAAATATCTATGCATCAGTATAAAGTGCAGAAAAGCTAAGAAAACTTTCGCTGCTGTAAAACCCCATTCCTGTAAAAGAAAATTAGTTTAGTTGACTGGGACAAAAGCATTTGAATCCTCAATAGTTATGCTCTTCCTACTTACGCTATAAGCCTGTCCCATTGACCTCTTGTAGTTCACAGAGGTTGGCAAAAACGCTGGCTGGTTCCCAGAGCAAGTGCTTCATGTTGCTTACCAGTTCGGTAATTTAAGGAAGGGAACTGGTTACTTCTGAGATATTACATATACAATCACTAGTGACACTGTTGTACTTTACTTTCAACAGGAAACACCCCCCCACCCCCCCCAAATTAGCTCACTTTCTTTTACGAGAGCAGCAGGAGGAGGTAAGAACAATTAAGACAGAGACAATAAAATGTCCTTGTATCAGGTTCTGGGACTATAGGGGCTATGCTCTTTTGCTCATGGTAGATTTTACACCACAGACCACTCCTGCAGAGGGTGATATTTCTGTGGGAAGTTACACCCGAAGATAAGTAAGACTAAAGCAGTTATACTTGAGTTCACATTGACCTAATATCTACAGAGCTATATAAAAAACATTGTGATAAACACAGCCAGTAAACAACATTTCTAGGACAAATTTATGTCATCTGGGGGTAGAGAGAGGAAGGAGAATGAGGAACAGAAAATGCACCCAGACAGTTAAAGTCAGGAAACACAGCGAACAACCTTACTTTAAAGATGACTGATCATGATTTTTTTTTCTGTAATTGCTGTCAATGGGAACGAAATACCGTAAGCTTTCAGAATGGGTTTACAGTGATATTTCGGTTCAGTTTTCCAGAAATGAAAAGCACACGCGCTTCTGCTAACACCTATACCACAGCAGAGAGCTAACACCATAACTAGCACTGAAAACAGAAACAATCTTTTGTGGAACAGACAAGGACAAGAAAAGTGCTCCATTAACTATTTTAAAGTATTTCCAATGACAGCAGCAGATAATCTGAGCTCTGTTTCTAGATGAAGAAAATTAAAATTATCTCAGAACAAATTCTAAAAGAAATCCTCAGGTTTTGAATTTTAAATAACCCACTTACAACAAGACAAAGCTAAGTAATAGGGGGTTGTTTCAATGTCACAGGTTTTACATGAAAGCAAGCAACATATAGTACGTCTGCTCCTGAAGATAGGAGGTAACACTAAGATAACAGTAACGGGGGGGGGGGGAAGACTTTTCCTCTTAATACGTATATGTAGTTCCTAAAGCTTAACCCAGATACTTCCACTACAGAAAACACAGAACAAACAAAAGTACACGTGTAATTCGAATAGCAGTATTTAAACTTTAAATCAACAACAGCAGCAGATTCTGGGGATCACCAAACGCAACTCTAACTCACTCTGCTGCCACTGTAACATTTCTTTAAAGAATGCAATCCGCTTAAGTTATTTCAAAGGTAGAAAGAAATATTCTTCTATTTTTATTAGCTTTTTGAAAAGCAACACCATGAACTTTAAGGTGGAATTGAGTGGAAAGGAGTTACTTTTACCTCCTTTTTGATACTTCTTTTTCAGGAATGTGACTTATCGTACTTAAACTGAAATGATGGTGTGCTAACAAATGGAAAAAGTAAACAATGAGTGAATGTTCTACATCTTTTCAGTTGTGATAAGTGCAGGTTCTGTTCACAACAGAAGTTCTCAGGTGCAAAATTCTCAGAAGTGAGACATTTAGTGAGTCAAGCCTGTGACATTTCAAGTGGGAATTATTTTGCAAGTGTTAGACGTAACCATCTCACAGTCATTAAGAGTAATGTCACTTGCTACTTTCCCCTAGGCTTATGTGGCAAGTTCAAAACTTTGCTTAAGATAACGGAGGTTGTGGTTTAATTATATCAGCCAGCAAAGTTCCTTAAAGATTCTTTTCAGTAAGGAAACACCAGGTTAAACTTTGTGGTCTGGACACACAAGCAGCAGCCACTAACTCCTCAATTCCAGTTCTGGCTAATTTCTCCCAAGGTCTTACACAAACCACTAAAAGTCTCAGTGCTTCTGTACCTGTTTCATTATCCAGAAATTTATATGTAATATATGCTTCTTTTATAGAAGTGATGGGAAATACAACTGACTAATAAATACCACATATAAACACTAGCACAGGAAATCGGCAGTTCAGGTTCTTTGTATTATCAGAGGCTGTGGACTACAGCAAGGTGGTTTGGGGGTTTTTGTTTGTTTGTTTGTTTTTGAAGAGCAACAGTAGAATTTACACTCCTCACCTTTTACAGAGCTCCAACAGAAGACAACTCTTAAGATGCAGATAGGGGATTTATTGCAACCTTTGTATCTGATCTGCATGGCCCTACACTGAATTAGCACATGCCTTATCCAGCACGATCGCACCCGTTTTTTGTCTGCATGGTTCACATTTATGGCTGTGGTACCTCACTTGCATATGGGAAAGCTGATGATGCTTGCTGGAAACAAATTCTGCTCTCCCAACAGCCCATGAAAAACAGGCCCACCTAGCAATGCACTGAAATGCACTACGGATGATCAGCGCTACTGGTAACAAGCACTGTGTGTGATATTTGGTATCTCTCAAAAGCAAAGCCAAAATGCTGTAAATTATGTAAGGCTCCCAAATGAAACCACCCTTTCCTTAGTGCCTTGGTAGCTCCAATGAGACTAGGCTGAAGTGCAGGAAGGTTGGAGAAATTGGATCTTACCAGGGCAAGCAGAGGCAAACATTGGTAAGGCATGCTCCTCCTGGTTCCTCCGCTGATACCGCTGCACAAATTCCCTCTGGCTCTCCAAGATACTGAAATCAGCAGCTATAGTGGTGTCAAATACATAATGTACCCCTATGAAAGAAAGCAGTAAGGAAAAGTGAATTACTACAATGTTTTCCATCTCGCAGGCTTCTTTCAAGTTCTAGGTCTACAGAAAGTCTTGGAGGATCAATGGGTACATTCTTTCTTTCCCCTCTCCAAATTTTCACAAATAGTAGAGTGAAAAATAAAAGCCATACATTGAAAAGCTGTTGTCTATGTCATGAATTTAAAAGGACCACCAACTTGCTAATGCTGACTAGCAACACTTCAAATAGTTGTCTGCTTCCTTATGAGAAGCTTGCCATTCGGCATATATTTGCTTTTTGTTCAATTGAATGGGATTTTGCAACTCCCGGGCTAGATGCAGTGACTCTTGAAAAGGAGCATTCTTTCCAAGACATGCTGAAGTCGCATACCATTATCCACAAAAAATGTATCCAGCTAAGAGGCATATCTTCCATTGCTGAAGTTGTCTGCAAAGGTACACGAGCATATCACCAACACAGCAGGGACCTTCTGTCTGCTTATTAGCAACAGACTCCCTATGTGCCTACGTAGTATGGAGCATGTCCCCGCAGCAAGCGAGGCATAGATAATTCATGCATTCTAGGAAAACTGAGGCCCACCAGAACTTAGCATTCCTTTTAGATGAAAAAAACATACTGGCTACAGAGATGCACAAAAACTATGAAAAATGAAAATATATACATATATATATATGAGGAAACAGTTTATAGGTTTATTACTGTCCTTTTCCTTCCTCCTTCAAGTACGTAAGAAAAACCCCAAACCTATAGGCAAGGTGTTTTTTGGTTTTTAAATAAAACTTTGTACATATATAGTATAAAAAGCGAAGGAAATGTAGCTTTAACATAAAATAGGCAGACACAACAGTTCTTGCATGTAACTTCAAATTACAGAAAAAAACAGAACTAAACCTTCTAAAGATATAATGCGTCAAAAAGACTGGAAGGCATTTAGGATAAGAATTCCCTCCTCCCTCAAGTTACAAAATAGGGGGAAATCTTACTGAGGCTCATGACCAAATCCTCCCTGATTTCTTGGTAGCGAAGGTTTTGAAGACAGCTCTAAAATGTCCTTCTATTCTGTGACCTTTACTATCAACAGGGTAATGCCTCCAATTCATTTCTGAAACTGGTGTATGTCATAACTGGTGCACTGTCCTTAATATCACAGAGTTCATATTTCAAACTCTAAACTATATTGTGCAATGGCACTTTATGACTGCATAACAAACAATGCTGCTGAGTAGGCAAAAACCTACAATAATCTCCCATTTCTGCTCCGCCATCGTAACAAACCCAAACTTACCAAGACTTTTGAGGAAACCACAGAGTCTCTTGGCTGCATCATTCACAGAGAGACTGAATTTAGCAGCAAAATAAGGCAATGACTGAGGGCATATAGACACTGCCAACACTTTGTGTTTTGAGGTATCACATTTCTGGTAAACAAAACAAAAAGAAACAAGGTATGTAATTACACCAGGGTAAGGCTCCCTACTTTCCCTCCCTTTTCCACTCCTGGAGTTATTCCTCAGTGTCCTATGCTTCAGTGGACCATATCATTAAAACCCCTAGGAAACAACTACCAAGTGTCCTGAGGGCAGGGCAGGGCAGGGCAGGACATTCCTCTGATCCTGTCAGTGTTCATCTCTAATCATCCTTAGATGTTCCTTTTATATAACTCAGGGAAACCTATCCCTCCTGGGGTAATTCTGCGGTTGGTCTCCTAATGGCATCAGGAAAGTTCAAAGACATTCAGCACCTATGACGTTCTAGCAGTATGAAACATTCTAGCAAATATGAAAAAAGCTGTATGTTTAAACATTAGTAAAGAGATAAAACTAATGTTTACAGGAGCATGGGCATTTGAAGTTGCAAATCCAACACAGCAAATTACAGATCTGATCCTTTGTTAAAGCTCCTGTGTCTCTATCACTGAAGCTGTTGAGGGAAACTGGCAAGACAGGACCCTCAACAAACCAGTGTTTGTAGGCACTGAAGGACCCTTTGCAAATACCCACAGTGGTGTGCGATAGTAAAGCTCTGATGACTGACATTTATTTGAAGATGAACCTTGTGGTTTAGCTGGGACCTTTTCCGTACCAGTGGAACCCTTGGAAGACAAACCAGGACTATGCCACAGAGAAGTCTCACCCTAAGAAGGTTAGAGACCATAGTTTGTACTTGGACACCCTAAATGCTGGATAATGACCCTTCAAGTAGAGCTTGTGACTGCCTGGAAAGCATCTCCCTTACTCACTGTCCTCTTCTGGACCCCTGAAGTTCTGATTGAGGTACCTGCCTGCCTCCCAGTTGGAGGCTTCACCCTCTCTTAATAGGACCCATGGGACCCAAAAGATTTCCCCCTCCCCCCCCTTCTCTTTTTCTCATGTACGACAACATCATACTGTACGGAGAGTTAAACTAGTTCTAAGAAAACTGCATCACTATGTAATGAATCCTCTTACTTATGACTCTTATGTACAGATTAAGAAAAAGCATCAATTCTGGTAGCTTTTGCATACCAAGTAAGGACACAGAAGCCTGGAGCAGAACTAAAATAATTAATTCAGTATCAAGATCTAGGCACCATACATAGCAACTAGCTTCCAGGAAATCCAGATCTCGGCAGAAAATAAGACAGCAAAAGAATGCTTTTGGAAGTTTTGCTAGGAATTTGGACAAAAAATTCTGTTCCAAATATAGTCCGCTCAAATATATATTAGAAGCAATTCTACTTTCCAAAACTTGCCTTCGTAACTTTGTATTATGTGGAGACATTGGCACCAGAAACACCCAGAACAGTCCTAGTAACAAAGGTATGAGTATTTATAAACACTGAACCACAGACTAATTTGTTATTACAGTAATGAGGTAGTTAGGTTTTCCAAAAATTTTACTTCTGCAGGTGCAGTAACCTTCCTCTAGCATTTAGGTTAAGTGCTGTGATCTTGCATCTCCAGTGCAAAATTATTTTAAGTCCTTCAATGTTCATCTTGCCTGAAGTTTTCACTTCCTCTTTGGACAAAGTACATCCTGACAAATCTTCCCATTATCTGCCATGGGAAACCAAGCTGCTTAGTCATTCTCTAAGTTCCTCCTCCTCACAGAAAACAGTATGTTATTGTTTGTGTCACTTTACCTTATTGAGGTTAAGAATCCGAAAGAGCTCCTTCTGATTCTGTTGGAAAACTCTGGCTCCTTCTTCTGATGTCATGCAGTTGTCACAAGCTAGGCAGTCGCTAAGGAGTATTTTAGCATTAGCCAATGTATGAAACTCATTTTTCTGAGGGGGGGAAAAAAGTAAACAAGTATTTAATAATGGTCAACCAATTTTCGAGACCTCTGCAATGACCCAGCTGAAGAGCAAACATGGTCTCACTGTTTTGTTTAAAACAAGACAATCCATGATGCTTGCATAACATCCAAGATTATTTAGAAGTATTCAAAATAATTTGTTCCATTCTTCTTCATGGCTCTGCTCCTGTTATTACCATAAAACTGCAAAATGTTTAAGCATAAACATAGAACTAAATTTAGCCCTGTAGTCCATGTTCTAGTAACTTGACTTGCATTTCAGACCCGACAGTCCCCATCAACTTACCAAGCAACTGAGAAAAACTTTTACTTGAGCTATGAAACCTCTTTAATAGCCAGATGCCTCTCTAACAGCAAGATGGCTTTGGCTTTTTACCATGAGGCAAACTAAACAGAATGCAGTCCTACAATTACACTGAACATATACATAAGATCAAGAGTTTCATGCTTCTGGCTACAATACTGGCAGCTCATCTGTGGGAAGAAGAAATACTTGGACAGGAGTGCAACATAACCAAGCGTGTGATCTGTAGGTTTGTCTCATATAAAAAATAAGAAAACATTTTGTGCACTTGTACTGTCAAAACCCCTCTTCTTACAAGCTCTACCTCTGTTTTGAAGACTTAATGCAAGATTTTTGACACTCAAAAAAAATTTTTTTACAACTTCAATTTCTGTTTCGTGTTTACATAGTAGTGGTATATTTCATCTTTTTTTAAAAAGTTCTTGATTAGATTGGATATTAGGAAATATTTCTTCACGGAAAGGGCTGTCAGGCCCTGGCCCAGGCTGCCCAGGGCAGGGGTTGAGTCCCCATCCCTGGGGGTATTTAAAAGCCGGGGAGATGTGGTGCTTGAGGACATGGTTTAGTGGTGGCCTTGGCAGTGCTGGGTTAACGGTTGGACTTGATGATCTTAAAGGTCTTTTCCAACCTAAATGGTTCTATGATTCTATGTCTGGAAGCGCTCATAATTGCTTACAACTGCTTCTTGATTAGCGTTACATTTAGTACTTGAAAGTTCTCTACTAATAGCCTTCTCTGGGGTAGACAACAAAAAAAAGAATACAAGTAAGAGTCTATTACAAATTTTAGAAGGAACATTACCTCTTCAAGACCATCATTTGAACTCAATGCATCAACAGATGTACTTTGCGTATCATCATTTTTCTGTTTTTTACTGCATTCCTGAAACAAAACATAAAATACATGTATTATGCAAAATACATTCACTGTTCAATAAGAACATCTTTGCTGAACTGCTTGTATCATTAAAAACTGATCTGGCTCTTTTTTTGGCAGCGTTAAATCTACATCTTTATATGCCGTGCCCTGTTTTCAAAGTGCATTTGAAATAATTCCTCGTCAATTCCCTTGCTTCATCAGTTTCACAGTTCCGAGCGCGGTGCTTTTTAACCCCGAGGGGAAGATTAACGAAGAATTAAGGCCGAACCCGACGTGACGGCTGGGAGCAAGGCGACCGGCCGCGTCCCGCCGGTAACGGGGGGCGCCCGCCCCCCCGGGGCGGC